GTTGCTCGGGCAGTGCTCAGCTCATCATGGTCATCATCATCATCTTGTTCTGATTCTCCATCACTAAACTCCAGCTCAGCCTGAAAATATACAGTATGGAGTGAAATTATAGAGTGTACTGTAGAATATTATAATTGTGTACCTGTAAATTCAGTGGTCAGGAAATTAATGCATTTGATGTCATATCACACTCATATATAAGCAAATCACATCACACTCATATATGAGCAAATCACAGGTACATCTGATGAAGGAGTTGCTATTGTGACTATAGTCACTATAACAACTCCCTGATAATGTGGAAAATTTTAGATGTTAAATATATTACTGCTTCCACTAAGATTTGAGAAGATGTTAGTCTGATGTTTGTACTCACGGAGCTAATTCGTAACTCATCGGCAACAATGGAGTCACTCGCTGACTGAGGGCGGTTTAAGTCTGGCTCGTCATCTTCATCTTGCCGCTTTTCAATTGAATCTATGTACGCCTGCACGTGCTCCATCCTAATAAGTATAAATGAAACACAGCAACCATCAGTTGATATGATTGTAACTATTCAAGTAGTAATTATTGATTATGTTCGCATTGAATTATGATTCTGTAATCTATTTAGAAACAACAAAAAAAACACAGCAGTTGAAGATCTGCATTTAGGACTTTGATAGTTATTACAAAGTTTTTCGACAATGCAAAAGATCTGGTAGCAGATTCAAAGGTAATAGGGATAAATTAAGAAAAACCAAATTTCTTCAGTGAAGAAGCTGGTACGGTGGATGTGGTTCTAGCTCTCTATCTTTAGATCAGAGATTAACTTCAAATTTTAAAATTGGACTCAAGTCTGAGAGCTCTGTCCAGACTATCAAATTTTCTGTTGTATGCCCATATATAGTCATGATGTGCCTATATATGTTCATGATGTGATGTCATCATGACCATATTTAGACATGTCACACGTGTTACTTAACACGTGCTCCATGATTATAATCCAATTGATTGACAGACACTTACCCAAGCTTAGCCTTCTGTTTGAAAGTGTCAATCAAGAATTTCCACCTCCTT